AGGACGATCCCTGGTGACATATCAGTTCACTCAGAGAGACACAGCTGTCCAGAACAAAGACGCAAGCTAGGACATCCACACGCCTCCATGAGAGACCCGGAGCTAATGACAGGGTCCAGCAGAGTGTGTGTGTGTGTGTGTGTGTAAGAGAGAGAGAAAGAGTGCTCTGGTGTGTGAGTGACATTGAACAGTGTCACTCATCAGGGGCAGAGCAGCGGTGTGTGTCCGCTGTTACAAGCCAGTGACACAAACCACAATCAGCCTACGGATTATGGCCGTGTTACTGTGACAGGCAGGAATAAAAAAAAAAAAAAAGATGTAAAGAAATACTGATATTCTACTATATAGAATAGTGTTTTTCATCAAAAGCTTTAGGTTGGTTTTTTTTTCCTCTTAGTGTTTACTTTTGTGAAATCTTCGAAAGCTCACCGTCAGGTAGCTGTAGCTGTTGCCAGCACACATATTAGCTAACTCCTCATTCCTGTTTCTGGCGCCATGCCTGGAAAAACTGGAGCTGCGTTCTACACACGAACTCACAAACAAGTACAGAAACTGCATAGATGCATACACACTTGCAACAACAGACTGGACAGACTGTGGACTGTCCAGTCTGTCCACCAGCATAATAGATATTACAGCAGAGAACATCATCGTTTCATCTGACCTGAAGAAGAATCAGATGAATATTCCACACCACAGCTCAGAGCTAAGGTTTATTAGACACACGTTCAATCCAACCATACGTAAAACCCACCGCACAGAATTCACAACAAGACAGAACACCAGAACAAGGCAATTATATCTCTGCTCAAACCTGCGAGTTTCTCCCTGACCCCACCGACTCCAAACCCTCCTGGGCTGGTGAACTCCATATGACAACTATCAAACCCACACAGGTGACACGGTTTTTAAAATGTAATCAAGGATAAGCGAGGCAGAGAAATAAAACATAAACTGGGGATGATCTTTTACTTTCTCCCAGCGGAGCTCCCCAATTCACACTGAAGCCACTCTGAACCTGAGATGAGATGAGATGGAATGTCGCATCTGCTAACGCGGGACTCTGAGTCATTACCGGAGGCACATGGGTTTTGGAAACAAGAAGTTGTGACGACAAATCAGGGGAAACAAAACCGCAAGGACTCAGCAGCCCAATTGAAATGCAGCGTGCAATTAACTTTATAATCTGTTTACAAATGAGGTCCACCACGCCGCAATCTCTGGAGTGTGTGGGTGTGTGCATCTGTATGCATCCTACTGTTTGATCAAGGTAATAGAAAACAAACAGCATTACACACACATATATGCATATATGTATATGTATGGATGTGGGTATAAACACATTTTTGTTTTTCATTTTTTCTCACAAATGTACAAATGACATCATGTGAATCCAATGAATAGTGTAATATAGTGATAATAAGGAATTATTGGCTCTCTACAACAATATACATTAAAGCAACAGTTGCTTCTATGACTCTGTGCTCACACACAGGCTGTTTTAATGCAAATGTTCTAAATACCGCAGAGCTGTGTTCATTTACAAGTTTTCCGTTTGCAGTTCTCAGACCACGGAGCAAATGCAAAAGAGTGAATTAATCACATATCATTAATATCACATGTGGGCCAAGAGTGAATTTAAATCCATTTTTTCCAGCTGTCGCTCTGATCTGCTGAAACCCCGATTCTGTGACACAATGGCTGCTCACAACAACTCTGATTTGTCAAAGAGGAAGTGAGCGGCCCATTATCATCCTTGGCAGAAGCCATGAAGTTGGTAAAATGAGAAATCTACACCTGAGTCCTTGCTGTCAGTCACGTCCCTGAGAGATAGAGGGGGAGAACATCCATCAAATGTAAAGAGTGTGGTTAATTCCAGTGATCATTTAAAGGAACTGCTAGTTCAAATTTACATTATCAGGATATTTTCACTAACATTTCTTGGTACAACAAAGGCATTCATGCCAACCTACATACACGTACACCACCTTTAAGTAGAGTAGAGCAGGTGGTAGCAGTGCAAAAATGAATGTAATGGAAAACTGTGAAGGTAAGATTTACGAGGTGGGTCGTAATGGGGAAAACAGGCGGGAAGCGTGGAGTTGGAGTTTGTCCAGTAAGAGGGAAAAATGTCTTCACCAGAGAATTAATTATTAAGATAAGCGCAAATAGTGTTGCATATGCAGGAGGACAGACTAAAAGCGTGTGCGAGTGCCTTAAAAGGATGCAGCCGAGCTCCACACTCGGTTGAGGTGAGGTGATTTGAAATAACTAAAGGAGAGTAGTCTGAAGTGGCAAGGCAACAACACATAGTTTAAACTGGTCTGCATTAGAGCACGGCGTCCTATATTTTAGCCCTCACCTGTGGATGTTGACCGGTCAGTGTTTGTATTTGAGAGTTGGGCTCATTAACATAATTAGTATCATTTTACTAATACTAACAGAACTACTGTATATATATATATATATATATATATATATATATTGTAAGTTGATGGGCTGATGAATAAAATAACTGGAAAGAGTTATTTTAAAGAGTCCAACATTAGCTTTTAATTTGATTCGTTTAAAACCTTTTATTTTATTTGTCTTTTAGAGTGTGTGTGAACAGAGAAGCACCACCACTGTGTCTGACACAGTATTTAACCCTTCACTTTTCAGCCGTAGCCCCGATGTCACAAATCCAATATCTGTGTCACCGCCACGGTTGTAGGATGAAAATTAAAGGTCACAAGGTCACTGGTGGATGACCCCACTGCCCTACGCTCACCTGTCCTTAAGTGGACAAACAGACCAAGACCAGAAAGGATTTTAGAACTTTTGAAGGAACATTCTTTCAGACTTTTTTTTTTCTCATTTAATTTTCTTTTAACTGAACATTTAATTATGTTTTATTGTTTATTGACCTCTGTTTAATCCTAACTAAATGTTCCTAAATTTGTTTGGGAACTGTGGTTAACTGACATTGTTTTAAATTGCTATATAATTAATATAATTAACGTAACTTTGTTGTCAGCACTAGTGGTTTTCAAACTTATTTTCTGCAGTTTCCTCAACTTTTGCTTCAATAAACCACACATTGTTGTAAGAAGACAGTCAAGCTACATGAATTTATGAGATTTATGTAGCTTAAAAAATTATATTATTCATTAGGCGAAAGAAAACTTTTTTTTTTCTTGTTGTTTCTAATGGAACATTCCTTACAGTAATGGGTTATAGTGACACCCGCAGGGTAAAGAGCACGGCGCTGCATTACACCGCTTAACACAATTTAAAGTTGTATGTTTTATTGTACTTTTATTTGTTGTTGTTGCCTCGTATGCTGTACGATTTTCCTCATGTTTTTATTTTTCCCTCAGGCCCCACTGAACTAATGCAATAAGACACACTAATGTTCCATTAGAAAATCTGCTCTGGACCCTGTCAAGCAATCCCACAGAAGATCACATCAAGTCACACACATTGTGTCAGCCACCATACATGTCATAAAGATAAGCAATAACCATTACAGCGTAGGGGCAGATAGAGAGTTACAGTTGAAAAAACACTGTGTTTGACTCATCTGGCTGCATATTCTAATATGAAACGCAATAACGATGAGAGTGTCAGCGACGAGATCAGTGACAGCTCGTCATTACGGCTGTCATTGGCTGTAACGCTTGACGTCTTGCTGTTTTGTATGCGTACTATAAACTCCGAAGACCGAAGCCCGTGATCCAGTGATCGAGTTTTTGTCAGATCTTTTCATTCAGACACAAAAGTGTTTAAAAAAAAAAAAAAAGAACAACTTGAGAACTTTAGAAACTTTAAATGCGTTTTCTCGGTGTGATGTGAGCAGTACCGATGAAATTAAACAGGAGATCTGGGAGAGACAAGAGCAACAGGCCTTGGAGGTTTACCAGAAGAAATAAAAAAAATGATATACTTTACAGAATTTCAATGCAGGAGAGAAATACAATTAGGGTTTTTCCATTTTCAAAACTGAACTATTGTGAGTCACAATCGGTGATGTTTTAACGGTATCAAAATAAAAGCTCGGCTGATAGAAGTAATTTTGCTGGAAAGTCATTCATTTTTTCTTAGATTTAAAGGTAAAACAAGATCCATTCTGTCAAACTTCAACCACAGTGAAGGTGCACCGACCCGACAGACGTCAATTTAGAAACAAAACCCAAAGAGTGTTGCCTACAAAATAAAAGCCTTGCAGCACCACTTCACGTCCCTGTCACAGTGGAACAGATGTAGTCGTTAAATCACTGTTTTCACTTTTTAACAATAATCTCACACAGGCCTGTTGGAGAGTCAGGCCCTACAGTGTCCAGATCTGTTCCACCATGGGAAGAAGTTCCATCTCACTTCATCCTAAAAAACTATTTCATATCCACTGCCAAGGGAGTAAAACTTCGGTTCAGAATAGATTAAAGTTTGGTCATCTGGTCTCTCTGAACCCCACTCAGAGGCTGCAGGAAATGGAGCTGAATGACCAGCAGAGGTGAGGCACTTGCATCATCATCACCATCTCCCAACATAGGAGAGCAGTTGTAGAGAGATACACTCTCGGGCTGAAAACGTGGAGAGAGTGTGAACCGGACCAGACTAATTGTCACTCGGCAGTACAGCCGGGGGGAACGCTGATTGAAAGCCCTAATGGAATAACACTCAAATCCAGGGGCGGGAAGAGACCGAATGTGTGTGTGATCATCAGCCATAATGATGACCCATAATGCAGTTTGCTGCAGCGAGAGCTCTGGGCTCTCAACACACAGGCCATACCTGCAGCAAGCGGTAGGACAGAAATAAGAGGAAATTCATAAAGAGGAAGAGGGCACGAGGGTTGAGGGGCCAGAGGGGAGGGAGGGTGATAGGGAAAGGGCATTAGGGGCAGGTTAGAGAGGGCAGGTTTGTGTCAGAAAATGAGGCAGGCAGTGTGATAGAGAGGAGAAGAGGTGGACTGTGAGAAGAGGAGACGGAGAGAAAGAAGGAGCGTCTTTAGGTCTTACCATGTCAATCAGACCCTCCTGGATCCGGTTCAGTGTGGTTCTCAGTCTGCTGCTGATTAGGCCCAGACCTGATGACTCATACTGGACAACACACAAACACGTTTATGATTATTATTATCATATATGAACCACACACAGGGAGCAGACATCAATATCAGGGAGAAACCACAATGTAAGTGTGAAGGAATAAAAACAAATTTAAATTTTGCAAATTCACTGTATCAGTGGTATTTTACTGATCTAACCAAAGGGAAAACACACAAAACTCAAACAAACAAACTATTGGTGTTGACCAGTATTTTGGACAGGTACATACACCTGTGTGTACTAGTCATAGCACTGCATGGTTAATTCTTACCAAGAAGACAGGGCCCACCGCCCGGGCAGTGCCCACCTCTCTGCCAACCTGAGTTGACAAAGACGGGCTGGGGACAGGCTACGGAGGTTAAGAGGAAAACAAACAAGGAAGCATTAAAAAAAAACTCAATCTATGCAGAAAACCACTTGATCGTCTAGTTGTAGTAAATTCAAAGATATAAACAAATGAATTGGTGTAAGTGATTAGAAAGTCAAATTATTTAATTAACATTTATTTTTCTAACTTTTATTTGTAGGGGTTTTAGGTCTTTTAAGTTCTTGCTGCCAAGATGAAGTATTTCTAGTATTTGAATTTCTGTCCTTTTTATTTCAAATGCTAGACTCTCAACTGGACTGTTCTCATTTTACCTTTCTCTCCGACCTCATTTACTTCTTCATTTTATTGGTCACCAGCCTCATCCTTCCCTCCCTGCCATCATAATTCATAACAGACTGACACATTACACACTCCTCCATCTCTATCTTCAGGGCATCCCTTCATTTACATTTTCCTCCTCATGTCTTTTCCCCCCTCATTCCAACCACACACTCCAGTGGAATCACAGAGCACAATTCACCATAGTGTAAGTAAACACTAATAAAAAAAGCAGTTTGGAATGCGGCCTCGCTCAGCCAGGCGGATCAAAGACCGATTATTGATAGTGATGTAAAATCCCTAAGCACATAATGCATCTTTAGCATATGTTTGACAGAGTCAATAGAGCAGCTCGACTTGACGGGGCCGAGATGCAAAGATAATGGACGCATTTATCCTCTTGAATATTTATGTCATCCATTACTCCGCAAGTGGGGAGGTCATACAGTCTATCTGGATTCTATGGATGTAAAAAGGCAGGAGAGGAGGTCAAATACAGGCAACTGTGAACGATGATGTGCAGCAGCCTTTTAAAAATTCATGGGAGCATTAGCATTTAAGTGCAAATGCCTCTTTGACTCAGACTATTAATGAAATAGGTGGGTTCATGAAATGACACCTGATGAGGGCCAGGGGTGAACCAGGCCAAACGAGGAAGTGGGAGACAGACAGACACAAAGGCAAAAAACTGAAAAGAAAGACACGAAAAGTCTGAGAAAGATTAGAAGCATATGTATGCCATACACAGTTTGTCTACATATATATATATATATATATATACATATATATATATATATATATATATAGTATACGTATACTCCAGTGATGACCCAGTTACTGCAGAATGAATTTCGAAAGCTGTCAGTTTACACCAACTCTTGTGGACTTCCATGACCATCTGTCAGACGGACAGACACACACCAGTGAACTGTATGTGTCGGAGCAGCCCTGGTAGAGCATTCATCTTCCTAATCTCATCCACCTTGACGGAGCAGAAGTCATCCTCTCACTATCATTACCACATCCCTGAGGGCAACGGCAACACAAATGCTGTTTTCTTTCCTTTGAGGGGCACAGTGTGAAACGATATGAGTGTTTCCAGATGGATAACAGGAGACGCCCTCACTGAGTGTAACCCATTGTTCAGCTGGAGTTTACACTGTGAGACAGACGGTAATCGGAGGAGATGGCAGCGGTCGTCACCCATTTCACAGCAGAACACCGAGTGGACGTACATCACAACAACACAACGGTGTAAAAAGTTATACTTCAATACACAAAAAACCCCAAAGTGATAGCACTGACGGATGTGTCAAGGCAGAACTATAAATATTAAATACGGCTTGAGTCACTTTTTCTTTCCCAGGGAATTCAGTCAGTTAACTAGGGCTGTCACTTTGTATTCATAGTTGGAAAATCCATTTCAGCATTTGGGTAGAATTTAAAATTGAAGGGTTAAACCCCAGTCACAATATGGCTGTTAAAAGTTGGAGCAGTCTGAAGCACAGCCTTATTTTTAATTTCTTATCTGAAGGTAGACTGTCATGGATTAGCACTTGGTTTGTATGATTGGAACTAAAATAAAACAATTAGACAAAATCTAAATCTAAAAAGCAGAACTTTATGGGAAACATAATTCTGCAGAACCCAAAATATTCCACTTTCCAC